TGGGCCCCTTATCTGGCCGCAGGCAGGAGCCGGCGCAGCTCGGCCAGGCTGCTCCTGCCACACCACCGGTTTCCTTCCTCCAGCGCTTACCTGTGCAGTAGGTCTCCTCCTCCTCTGCCCCCTACTTGTCCCCTTTTCCTCCCCACTCCCCAAGCCGACTTCCCACGTCCTTGCCCTTGACCTTTGCTGACTCGCCCCAGCAGGGCAGCCCCGTCTGCCACCTCCCCAGAGAGAGACCCTCTAAACTCTGCCTAGCAGCACCCACCATAAGCAAAGGCCACGGCCCTTTGAGTCAAAGCCAGGAAGCTCTTGGTGACCTACAGCGGTTCCCAAAAACTCTGACAGATTGTGCACTACCGATTTAAAATGACAACCTTAAGTACCACCAGCAAATTTTGGTCATATAAAGTAATTGTAATAAATCTATTAATGTGTACCCCTGGCAGGCTGTCTGTGTACCACTGGTGCTACCCATGCCACAGATTGGGAACCACTGACCTACACAGATGAGCTTCAGTTCCCTGGTGTCATTAAGGCAGTGGTTCTGTGAATTAAGCAGCTCCAATCTCAAAAACAAAGAGTTAGATCTATTACAGTGCTCACCTTGAAGCAGGGCAGGGCACTGGGGATGACTTGAGCCTGCTCTCTCACCACACCTTGATATACCCCTCAGAGGACCTGGCAGCAGCCCAGGGTGCCCCAGCACTGAGAATCAAGCCCAGGTTGAGAATCGCTGCACTACAGTCTCTAACAATGCCCCAAGGCAAAGCAGAGCAGGCCAGGCTGCCACCTTGCCATGTTCAGTGGACCTGCTGGCACTGTTGGCAGGGAAGCTCCTCTACCTCTGCCATCTGGTTAAAAAGTAACAACCATGCTGCTTCTGCCCGAGCTGGAGTACAAAGCACAATCCAAGTTTAGCCAATCCAATAGCAACCTCCACTCCTTAAGGGCAAGAACTGAGTTTATAATTCATAATGGTGTTAAAGCAGAACACTACATTTAGCTTACTTTCACTGAAGGGGGAAAAAAAAGACAAACTTTTTAGCTGGGGCAGGTTTTGTTTTTTTTTTTAATGGCTTTAGGACATACCTATGAAGGCAAGAACTTGGATTTTGCTAAACACAAAAGGTTCCAGAAAACTGAAGAACCCACTAAACTTCAAAAGCCAGTAATTGCAATAAACACTACAAATTACACTCCCAAATTTATAGAGCCTGTTTAAAAGGGGGAAAAAAAATCTCTGCAGCCAGCCATAACAGAATTACACTGTCAGACACACAGAAGCTAAAATAACTGTATTATAGAGAGATTTATGGAACATTAATTTTCAAAAGCCCATGAACAAATTAAGGTGTCAAGTATTACAAATATACGACTCGCATGAAACTTCAGGAAAGAGGTATGGGCTGGGTTCCCCCCTCCTCTTACAAATTTCACAAAAAAAGTATCTCAGTATAAGACCAGATCTCAGTGTAAAAAAGATAATTTAGATCCTGAGATTTGCCAGGGTAGCTACAAAATTTATCAAAAAAGCAAATTTAAAAGTTGGATTCCAGGTGCAATAACATTAGATTTGGGATTCTGCATCTAGGCATTTGTAAAATTCTAACTACTGTACTTGCATTAATCAGAGATGTGAAAAAAAAATCTTCCATTTGAAAGTTCATCTAACTTGATCTCAGCTACATAGTTGGTCGTATAAGAGCATCCTTACCTTACCTTATTCTCCAATAAGAAAGCCTTACCTCTTGCGCACCTACTTATTAGCAGGTATTCTGGTTTTCCCCGATTAAAAAACAAAACAAAATGCAAATGCTCTGATAAAACCCCTAAAATATGTGATTAATATGAAAGGCCCCCCACAGCCCTGCTCATGCCCCTATCTCCCTGCCCATAGCGCCTGCTCCCCAAGCCCTGCCAGAGGGGGCCCCCAGGTGCCAGGGCTATGGGGCCGGGGCCCCGTGTCTGCAGCCCTCTGCCCTTGGCAGGAGGTTGAGGCTGCTGCAGTGGAGCGGAGCCCAGCCCACCCCCCCGCTGCAGGCTTGGTCTGGGGGCATGGGGGACTGGTGCCTTGAGTCGGGGGGGGGGGGGGGCGCCCCCCCCGCGGGGGTCTCCTAGGGGCTGATCGCACTGACTGGGGAGTTCTCCGCCTCCAACCTCGCTCACCAAGAAGCGAGCGCGCTGCTTCCGGGAGTCCCGTGGCCACTTCCAGAAGCAATGCAGCCACTTTTGCTGGCAACCCTGCTCCCCAGCTGGCCCTTGCAGGGGGGACACTGGTGCTCCTGCCTGCCCCCCAGCTAAACGGGGAGGGCAGCCTGACAGGGAGTGCATATGCACCCCTATGCATTGCCACTGGCGGGGGGGCAACTCCCTGCAGCTGCACATACTCCCAGAGGGCAGTGGGACCCACGCTGCCAGATCTGTGCGCAGGGCAGGGCTCCCTGCCCTGCTGCCCTCCCTCCAGGCCTCTGCAGCCTAGTGGGTACAACCTGGCACTGCAGGGCAGAGTGGGGCTGCACAGGAAAGCTCATTGCTGCTACAAGCTCCGCACTGCCTTGGCAACGTGGCTCTGCATGCGCAGTAGTGAGGGGCACAGCCCTATGCCACCACAGTTGTGTGCACAGAGGATATGTTGCCAGGGCAGCACAGAGCTTGCAGTGGCAAACAGCCATCTTGTGTGGCCCCACTCTGCCCTGTAGCACCAGGTTCCACCTGCTGAGCTATGAAGGCTCTGGGGGAGAGCAACAAGTTGGGAACCTGAGCCTGCAGTGGGCAGCCCACTTCCACTCCTTCCCCATGTACAGATCTGGGGGGCATGTGCCCCTCTGCCCCCCAGCAGTGCCCGTGGCATGGGGGAGCCAGCTTCTCCCCTCCCGCCTCCTGGACAAGCCACCTGTGACCTCATCTCACTCCCTGCTGGGACTCTGCAGCCATGCATTTCAGTGCCAGGCTGCAAGCCCCAGCCCTGCCCAACTCCCTCCCTCCTTCCCTATGGGGGCCTCAGTCCATGCCCCACCTCCCCCACTACAACTTATCTGCAGGAGCTGCACATGACAACCCCTCCCTGACTGCCCTCTTCCTGCTCCCTCCCAGCCCGTTGCAGGCTGGCCTGAAGAGGGCTTGCTGCAACACTAAAAACTGCAGGTTTCTCTGCTAAAATGAGAAATCCATGTTTCACTCCGTTTTTCTGTGGGAAACAGAAAACCCAGATCCCTGCTTATTATGTAGATTTATTCAGTAACTAGATGGCATCTGTCACATGGTTTGGTATTACATGCAGGAGAAAAAACATGCTGAAAAGAACTAGTCCTGAATATGTGGGAAATCTACAAAATAAATCAAGTAAAACATAGTATTCAAAAATACAAAGATGAGATAACATTCAGAGTAGCTGCTTTCCATTTTTGTAAAA